GACGAGCGCACTTTATTGTATCCTTTTCTTGAATGTCTATGTAATTCGAGCAACTCTAGCGACAGAATCTTTTTCAGGTGGCTGAACGTGCACTATATTTCTGGAATAATGAATATATTCTTTCGTTGATCGAGGAAACGAGTGCCCAGGTTTGACTTTTGTGTGGCTTTTGTTTGCTTGATGATTGTAAAATGCTCAATAGATTCTTATTGTTAGAGTCGGTGGTATTCCTCGGTCATTGTAGAAAAGTAGTGAAATTTTAAGGTGATGCCAATAATGTTTCCTGCGTTGTATCGGATTAGCAAAGAACACTGGAATCAAACGATTGTTGCTTTGGTTTATAATGTTTTGAAGACATTTATGGAGATGAATGGCAAACTGTTTGACGAATTAACTGCGAATTATAAAGCTGAAAGGCAAAAGTGAGTGAACTTAATCTTACTTTCTGATGAAAGTGTGTTTAAAATGCGCGAGAATCTCAAATTGAAACGTTTAGTAATATTTTATGATTGTTTTTCAACTTCTTGATGCTTGATGTAACTCACGGTTCTAATATTATTCATTTGGTGCGATCGTGGGAATTTTTTGGTGTCACATGTATTTGAATTTGGCGTTCAGATTTTCATGACTTTAGAAATTTTAATCGGCTAAAATTCAAGGGAGAAGAAGCGAGAAAAAGACCGAGAGGATTTGTGGAAACGATTGGCGGCGGTTGAGTTGGATCCGCCGAAGGACAAAGATCCTCATATCTTGAGTAAGACGCCGCTGACGAATTTCATCGTGAAGCGAGAAAATCCCGGTATGAACATTGTGACCGGTGGCGAGAAGTCACCTAATTCAGCCAAAAGGTTGGTGATTTCGCTACTTCAGATTGTGATGTCTTCTGCTGGCATAGGCGGTCATTTACGTATAATGCAGTCTGATGTGAACCATCATAGTATGATGTGACCCATCGTAGCCTAATCATGCCACTCCATCTTGAAAAATGTCACAGTGATGTGTTTCATATTTTGCCGTTATTCCATAGATTTCCTTTATGGTCTCCCATCGAATTTCTCAAATTAAAAACAGTCAGAAACGTTCGTTATTCATCTCTGTGCTAATCTCTGATATGTACTTATGAGGTGATATTCAATGTGCATGTGCAGTTGAGTGAGTATCGCCGTTAGTTTATTCGTTTCCACTGCTCAGGTTGGGCCCTACGAATACGACTGGTTCATCATCGAAAAAGGCCTGAATGAAGTTATCGGCTGTTTGATTGTATGAACGACGACGATGGGATGCTTATACAGATGGTTAGCATCGTATACTACTAATCGACGCATTGCTTTGTGGTGTAATCGTGATGTAAACTTTATAAGACGACTGCAATTTGTGATTTGATTTTTTTTTNTTTTTTTTTCAATATTGCTTCCCGTACAGTAATGATATTTATAATTATAATACTGATATGATTATTTTGATAATATCGTTTATATTCTCATCTCGTATTAAACGTTCATTCATTCTTTCGGATCGATTTTATGCCAACTATAGAGTTTGCTTTTATTAGATGTTGTTTATTTGTTTCTTTGTTTGTTTTTTGTTTATTTATTAATTTATGTATTTGTTTGTACTGTTTGTTTCTTTTTTCTTTCGCGTTACTTCATTGTCTAAAGTAATTTGTGCTCTAAAGTAGCATCCACCATTACAGCCCAGCTTCGAATTGAAATTTGGTTATGATCATATAGTCTAACGGTGTTGCTAATGATAGCGTTTTTTGCGCATTGATAAGGATAATACTATCCATTCAGATAGACGAGCTACTTTTATGTTCCACTTCAGTCGTGCTTTGTTCTCTTCTTCCTTTTTTGTCGGGAAATTATTTTCCGGGATCACTTCTTCTCCCCTAACGGATCGTTACTTGGGAATATGGGCATTACCGTAATTGATCATAGACTGAATGCTAAGCTTGGCATGATGTTCGTTTGCATTGATTAAATGAACATCAAATTGAATTATAAATGATGTGCTCCATTCGTTACACGTTAGTGGATGCACTTGAGCCAGAGTGCGCATTTGAGCATTTCGGAAGAGGGAATGAATCAATATCAAGAAGCGTAGAATAGAGATGTTCATGGTACATAGTTTAGGGCAGCATATTCAGTCAGGTAGCATATGGTACAGATTACTAGTTGATTGCGTTGACATTCGATCAAATGAATAGTGTTTACTCAACGAGCATTTGCTCTCGCTTACAACTTAAATTTTGGATCATGTAATGAGAAAAAGATGTATTGAATTCGATGATATGATGGAGTGCTCCGAGTAGTTTCATTAGGCTATGTATGAATCATCTTTATCCTTTTATATTCGGCCATTATCTATTCGATATCATTATGATTCAGTGCAAAAATACTCGTTCTTTATTGTTTGTATGGCTTGTGGTTCATAATGCACAGAGTTAGCTGGTCGTGGATTTTTGTTGCGAATCACTGATTGGTTGAGTTAGTGAAATGCTTAGTGTTGAATTCGTTAGGTGAAGTCCTCCTTGCAGTTGCTTTTTATCCATNTGAATTCAATTCATATTCGAATTGTGCGAGTTGGAGCAATGAGGGATTTATCAGCCAGATGTGAGTGAGTGCAGCTAATAATATGAGAGCGTCTAGTGTAACGTAATACATCTTCGAGTATATCTCATTATATTGTTAATGTGATCGTGACGAAATTTTTCATTTTTTTTCTTACAAAGCGAACGTTGTAATTCAGCAGAATAATATTTTTATTGGGTGCTATAGATCAAATAGATATGAGAAAGAAGATAAAGGGAGTGGAGAAAAAAGAGTTGTCATTGATGCTTATCATTCTCGACTCAAACAACATTTTCAATTGAATAATTGCGTCTGTGTATGATTTTTGTGCTGCTCGGCATTAGAGTTCCTTTCTATAATAAAGAGAGTTTCCCTCTTCGATCGATTAATGAGTTACCTCTTTGGTCACGTTCAAAGGCAATTATTCATTGATGAAAGATCAGCAGATAGTTTTTGCGTTCCAACGTAAATGAGTGTACGGTTGTGTTGGTTTATTGTTCAAGTGGTGTTTGTTCCTTAGAGAATGTGTGTTTCGTACTAGTGTGTTGCGGGGATCGGGAAATTTTGAGGGCTTTGTCCCTGACGACTATTTTTCTAGCTGGTCGTATTGTCGGAATCGTCGACTACGAAATTCCGTCCCCTAGTCTCTCTGTTCCCAATTTTCTTCCGTCCTCGCAACATACTAGTGTTTTATAGCCTAAGAATGTGTTTCTCTCCTGTAATTTTTTTTGTAATGTTTGGGGTTTTTCTGCTATATTCTCATCAGTCAAAATTCTTTGCCTCTCTCGCGCTTTCTCATTGGAACGGCTGTTCTTGGCAAAGCTTCGTAGTTATTACATTTTTCCTGTTTTTCCGTTTAAATTCCGGATGGCTAAGTTCTGCCGTATGTGATGAACTTTGTTTCTGCCTTTTTCTGCTCTTTGGATGCAACTNCCCCCCCCCCCCCCCCCCCCCAACGCTGTTGTAGCGGTTATTGCAAAAAAAGTTTTGAAGGGAACAATGATTTTTCGGTTCATTTTATTGGAAGTAGTGATCATCACATTTTGTGAATTTTCCGTTAGTTAATTCATTAGAGATCAAATGAATTCGGTAGCTAAACGTGAGCTTTTGTTTTGTGCGATCTGATTTCTTCAGATGAACTTATCTGGACGGCAATAAGGAGGAAATGATAATTTTGATTGATTAAATTTGGTAAGTGTTCGTCACTTGTGAAAATATTCAAAACGATTGATCATCAGCCTAACTGAAAACAAATGAGAAGAAATGTCCAAGCGTTGATGTTTTTTTTTCTCTGAAACTGTTATGAGTTCTTCCGTGCTCAATTATTGTAAGGAAGGATTTTGTGTTCATAAAACGTTTTCAGTTGCTTCTAAACAGTTTGTTTACATTGAGTCATAATTGTGTCATAGCATTTATTTCATCCGGTTGGTTATTGGTGGCGAGAATATTTTGGGCTGCTTCGCATAACCTACTTGTATGTTCCCCATCTCATACCAATTGTTGGGAAAAAGTTGAACATGTAAATGGTCTCGTTTTCGAGACTTCTTTTCACGAAATTCACAACTGAATTCAGTTCATTCACAATTCAGCTTCTAAATTATGGGATTTGTATATGATCCGTATTGTTTCTTCAAGCGTTGATTCTCTAAATGCAGTCTATTGTATGATTATTTGGGATGAAATATGCGCAATGAAACTCAGTTTTTCTTCATATTATGAAAGGGAATTGGGAATTTCTCGACTTTATCCGGTTCAATGAACGGTTAGAAGGAGATTCGCAAACCATTTTGGAACGCTAAAATTCACGATGATGTGCATTCACGCAATTCGTTCGTCTTTCTTATTGGAAGTAAGTAAATTATTCTTTCCCTAGCTAATTGTCCCCGTCGTTATTTCATGTTTCCACACATATAGATATTATCAACAGTATCATTTTTTATGTTCTTTCTTCATTTAGATATTTGTTGTGCGTTCTGATTTTGTTATCATTGTTGTTGAATTATTTGAAATTATATCAGAGTAGTTGTCCATCTCTTAGTTATTGTTCGTTTGAATTGTGTTTAAGTTTGAGTTTAAGATGAGTGCTTTTGTGAACTTCTGGTTTGATTGTGATTTATATCGATTGATTGATCCTGAATTGTTTGATTGATCGCTGATCCAGTTGATTGATTTTTCACGCATACAATTAATACTTTTTGATTATTTTTGTTTGTGTTCGTTTTTATGTAATTTTTTAAATGTTGTGTGTTTTTTTCGGTTATCTTGCACATACCAGCATTTGTATGT